TTTCACATATAATTCAATGTGTTATTTGCTGATTTTTGTAAAAAAAAATAATAATAAAATTGTGAAATTTACTAGAAATTTCTGGGTAAGAACTGTTTCTCCATGCTGTAAAAAAATATTTTCTGAAGTTGTAAATAAAGCAAAGATTATTGGATTATTAAGATTATACAAAGATTATTGTTTTACAAGAAAATATTACTTCGGTCTTTCTACTTAAAATGTCACATTTAATTCAGTGTTTTACTTGCCATTTCTTTGTAATTAATTGTGAAATTTACTAGCGATTTCTGAGTGAAAATTGTTTCTAGACCTACTTTTTTTAGTGCACCACCCAATACTTATTCATCACTTATAGATGAGCATGAGGGAATACAGCATTGTGTGTGTGTGTGTGTGTGTGTGTTTATGTGGTTTATGAGGACACAAATTTGTATAATGACATGGGTATGACATAGGTATTACAACGAGAAGGTGATTTACGAGGACATTTTCAGTGTCCCCGTAATTTAAAAGGCTTATAAATCATTCAGAATGAGTTTTTTTGAAAATCAAAAAATGCAGAAAGTTTCCTGTGAGGGGTATGTTTAGGGGTAGGGTTGGTGTAGGGCAATAGAATATACAGTTTGAACAGTATAAAAACCATTACGTCTATGGAGAGTCCTCATAAACCATAAAAACCAACATGTGTGTGTGTGTGTGTGTGTGTGTGTGTTTTCCAGGCACCTCGCTTGTTCAGCATCTCATGACGCTTCTCATCAGCAAGCATGATCGCCTGTATACTGAAAAAGACTCAGAAACATCACAGAACCAGATGGAGGTAAAGGACCAAAGCCAACAACATCAGCAGTCCAAGCTGGTGGACTGGATCTCTGAGGAGGATCTACAGACCTGTAAGAATGACAACCCTACCAGCAGCAGTGCCTCGTCTGTGGACGCCGCTATCACCTCCAAGCCGGTGCCTCAGGGAAAGGGAGAGACAGCCGTCAGCCCTAGTAAGCAGGCCAAGGCGCTTCCAGGATGGAAGTACACCTTCAAAGGCTCCTCTCCCAGGCCGCCGTCCGCAAAAGTCTGTAGCTCCGCGGTGGACGTGTCCACGGCCTCCAGCGGGAACTGGCTCATGAACGGGCTGTCCTCGCTAAGGGGACACCGCCGCACCTCGTCCGGCGAACGCTCCAGGGATTCGGGCTCCTCTCAGAGACTGTCTACCTACGACAACGTCACGTCTTCATCGAGTCTGGGCAGCGTGCTGAGTATGGACAGCACGCCGTGGTCCTCCTCATCGTGTGAGATCTTCGTCCCAGACTCTGGAAGAGACCCGTTAGGAACAGAAGATGGGCCTCAGACAGAGGCGAGCGCTCAGGAGGAACGGAGCGAGGAGGAAGCAAAGCCCAGCGAACAAGAAGAGGACGTCGGCAGTGCTGTGGAGAACCGCGCGAGCGGATTGTTTTGCAGTGACAATGGGAACGTAGCACCGGTCATTAGAGTCGTGGACGAAGACACAGATGCAAACGGAGGCCCTTCATCCCTGGCCAGCATCGTGGAAGACCTGAAAGAAGAGCTGAGGAAGCAGAAACAGACTTACGAATCTAGAATTCAAAAGTAAGGCTGCTGCTTTTTAAATGACAAGGGTTTTTTGAATTGTTTAAAAATCACAGCTATATTTAAGCTCTGTTTGGATGGGACAAGTTTCTTTGAGTATAGGTCAGGTAAATTGGTGTTTCTCAGACATATGAAAATAGATTGTATTTTAGAATAATTTCTGTGCTTTAAGGGATAGTTAACACCAAAAAAAAAAATTATAATTGTCATCATTTACTCAACCGCCACTGGGTTCAAACCTGTATGAGTTTTGAGATATTTTGAAGAATGTTGGCAACCAAAACTTGACGGTAGCCATTCACTTCCATAGTATTTTTCTTTTCCATTCTATGGAAGTCAATGGCTAAAAAATACTATGAAGACAATATGACATATTATGAAGACAACATTTAACGATTTTAATTTGAATCAAACAGGGGTTTTTTTTCCTCCCCAAAAGCTCAGAAAAAAAAACTGGAAAATTACTTATGGGATTTTTTATTATTTTTTTTGAATAACTTATGGGTCCTCTGAGAAATCACAGACAACCACTGTTAATAATTGCAGAAGGTATAGAAAGTAGAGCTTCTCTAGAAATAATTTATTGCCAGAATCTGTACTTTTTAAATTCTTTTTAAATTTTGGTGATGAATTAGGGTTTGGGTTTTACTGTTGAATCCTTTCAATTAACATAAATTGAATCCGAATTGATTAATTAAGTAATTTGTATTTTTTTTAGCACGATTTGTACCAAAATAATATGATCCCCTTGCGAGGTCCCTGAATCATCAAATATAATATACAGTATATATACATAATCTTATCTATACTGTATGAGAAATATTATAGAAAAACTAGTACTTTTTTCCAAATTATTTTTTGAATATTTTGGGGGTCCTCTTAAAAAAAACAAAAAAAAAACAGACATCCTCTGTTAATAATAGTTTTTTTTTCTTTTAGTCACTACTAGAATGATGTTAGTTGTACAAATATAATGTTGTTGTTGTTTTACTATTAGTAGCATAAAATAATCTGACCTGTCTTTACAAAGCAAAATGAAACAGATTTGACAGATGTTATATTTCTAATATTTTTGGTCTCTCAAATTGCGTTCCCCAAACATCCCCCTAAGCCCTGGCATAAGTAACAGTGATATCTCGGTGATATCTGTATTGTGCACTCACACACCTGTGTTCTGTGTTCTGCTCTCTGCAGGCTGGAAGAGTCGAGTTCAGTCCTGTGCGCGCAGATGGAGAGACTCCAGCAAGAGATGGAACAGGAGAGAAAAAAAAAACGAATGCTTGAGATCAAACTGAGAAACTCTGAACGGGCCCGTGAGGACGCAGAAAACCGCAATCGCCTCCTCGAGAAAGAAATGGAAGACTTCTTCTCCACGCTGGGGGATCTGGCTCTTGGAAGCCGGACCAGTGACATTTAATGCAAACACACCCAAAGTCCCCAAATGGACCAGAGCACTCAGGCATCTCCAAAAATCATGTGGACAAATTTTTGTGTTCATCAAATCAGACCTAGTTAAAGGCCTTCCAATGTGTACCAGTTACTTTTTTCGAGGAGATTCTCGCCGTTTCAGCAGTGTAGCATTTATTAAAGCCATTATACAGCTGTTGATTTACAGCTATTTCTTTCTGGAAGCTTCAGCTTTAGGTGACAAAGAAACAAATGGAACGTCTGAATCTGGTCCTTAAATCAGTTCAAATTATATCATGCATCGTTTGCATGTTTAGGGTTCCCAATAATGACAATTAGAGCAGATTCACTGGCTTCAGCATGTTAAAGGAAGAGTTCACCCAAAAATAAAATATTTACTTCAAATGTACTCATCCTCGGGCCATTCAAGATGTAGATGAGTTTGTTTCTTCATCAGGTTTGGAGAAATGTAGCATTGCATCACTTGCTCAGCAATGGATGCTCTGCAATGAATGGGTGCCGTCAGAATGAGAGTCCAAACAGCTGATAAAAACATCACAATAATCCACAAGCAATCCACAGCACTCCAGTCCATCAGTTAACATCTGGAGAAGACAAAAGCTGAAACACATCTAGCATTAAGATGCTTTTAACTTCAAACAGTTTCTTCTGGCAAAAACACTAGTCTATAATCCTCCAGGGAAAAAATCCATCTTCTGTTGTCTCTCCCATCAAAATCCACCCACAGATTTGTTTAG